TAACTGTTCGTAGTTTATAGATAGTTCCGGAGTTAGAATTATTATAGACCTAGAGAAGTGGTTGTATTCATCAAGGTTTGCATTTTAATACAGCTATAATATAGACTTAGAGTAGGGTATATGTATATCAAGGTGTATACTTGAATATATTTATAAAAAGAACCTAGAGCACGGTTTATGTATATTGTATATCAGGGTACAATACTTGAATAGAGATATAATATAGACCTAGAGAAGGGTGTATGTATATCAGGGTGTATACTTGAATAGAGCTATATAATATAGACCTAGAACAGGGTTTATGTATATCAGGGTGTATACTTGAATAGAGATATAATATAGACCTAGAGCAGGGTTTATGTATATCAGGGTGTATACTTGAATAGAGCTATATAATATAGACCGAGAGCAGGGTTTATGTATATCAGGGTGTATACTTGAATAGAGCTATATAATATAGACCTAGAGCAGGGTTTATGTATATTGTATATCAGGGTGTATACTTGAGTAGGTTGGGTAAAGTATCATGGTCCCCCTAATGATAGTAAGGAGAGGAGGCTAAAATCTTGAAAGATAATTAACTAATTAAAAATTTGCAAAAAAGATAAGATTCAAAAGTCCATTACTTTCCGCTCAATAGATAAACCAACAAAAAAAAGATAATGACAGAAGGTAATTTGTTATTACAAAATAGAAAACTTCAAAGTTTTGTTTCTTTAAGTACCAAGTAAACATAAGGAAGCAAGAATTTAAGATTGCAATTCCGTTTGAACGTGTTAAGTGTTTTAAAATGAACAAGTGTTGCTTTGGCTTCCGTTTAGTTTAAGATTAATTTGATCTGTTTGCGTTTTATTTTTATACAGCTTAGTAACTATGTTTTGTTTAGCAGATGGCATATATATATATACAAGGAAGTTACGCATTTTACACGTTTGCGTATTTACTCACAAAACTTGCGTAATTGCGTAGCTAATAGAGTATAGTTCAGAACGGCAAAAATAATTGAAGAATCGTATTTAAAGTTGTATATTAAAATTAAAATTTTATAGGTTATCAAGATTTTAAAATACACTTTTCAAAAGCTATAGTTTATTAAAGAGATATTTCCGCAATGTGCTAGCTTGATTCTTAAAAAACCCATTGAATAAAATTAAATAAAAAGTCAACATTTCAAATGATATTTTTAGTCGCATAAATTCTTTTTAAACTATTTCAAACTTTCTAGGTGGTGGGGAATTGAAAAATCAACAATTCCATAGATAAAGGAAATGAGTCTTAGCCGCAAACTCTGATTTTCTAATGCCTTTATTTTCGCCACCCAATGTTGCAAACTTTCACACCATAGTTATACTTTAATGTATTAATTCTGTTTGATCAGATAATCTAAGTTTGAAGTAGCAAAGGTCTCCAACATCAGGTTGGAAAGATATGGAGAATACAGAATTTGAGTTTGTGTCAAAAATTAGCCGAAAACTTAAGACAGGGTATCGTTATGAAAACCAGTTTTAAAACCCGGGTTTTACGAATGGGATTAGGCAGTTTTGTGGATATCAATATTTTTGTTATGAAATATTTTTTTATTTAGTTTCTTCATATTCTCCATTTTTTTGAAACTCTTAAATCAAAATCTACAAAATGTTAATACCCCAAAAAGGAAACTCATGAGTTTCGTTTAACGATACTCTTTCAAATTTCGGTCTCAGTTCCTTTTAGTCTGCGAATCCAGTGTACTCGTAACTAGTGTACACTGTACAGTGAGAGGATACCGGAAGAGTCGGATTTCTCTTCCTAATCTTCCGGAATTTGTCATCCCGTCATTCTTTTATGATTCAGCAGGTTTCTCCGGGGTTAGGAACCATACACAACATGTAGCTAATTAATCGGACTGTTTACAGTTTTTGCATAAAACTGGGACTTGCGATTTTTGGCAGAAATTAAAATAATTTCTTTTTTACAAGTTTTCATGATAAGGCAACATTTAAAAAATACCTGGATTGTAAAGTTTCATATTCTTGAGTTCAATGCATGCCCTCCTCCATGATAATGCAATAACACAGGTTCGTCACGCAATAGGTTCAAAGCAGCTTAATCAAGTGTTGCTATTTCTCCACCTTTTTTAAACTTACTTTTCGTGAATCAGAATTTAAAGCCGCTTTGGTCTCAGAGCGTTTTTTAATTGAGAATTTGACTGAAAATTGGATCATAATTCTAAGATCAATCTTTTATAAAATAATAATTTTCTAAATTTCTCTACTTAGTAGGTTTACTATGGAGTATTCCTGTAGGTCTGAAGTGTGCCTGGATAATATCCCGTAGCTTCAACACTAATTAAACCTTTGTATTTGAGCAAACACCTGGAAAACAAACAGTTTCATTCCATCCTCTCTTCTTTCTCTTCTATCTAGGCTACAGTTTAAACAGTTTCATTCCATCCTCTCTTCTTTCTCTTCTATCTAGGCTACAGTTAAAACAGTTTCATCTCCCCCATTTTACTCTTCTATTTTACTTTCCTATGCTTAACTAAACCTGAACAGTTTTATCCAATCCTATCGCTTCTCCTATTCTAAACGTTCTTAACTAAGTGTATAGTTCCATCATATTTTCTTTCCTATCTTACCTTCTCCTAACGTCACCTGAGCTGAAAACTTTAGAATGGGGGATATCGAGATTAATGGTTGATCTTCTCTTTTCTTAATATCCAGATTATATAGTTGTTAAATCTTTTTCCTATTTTAGTCAAGATCTGAAACATTTCTAACACTTTTTCATACCTGAAACTACACCTCAGCGATTTCATCTCACCATCCTTTTTCCTATTTTAATCTATAGCAGTTCCATCCCATATTCTTTCCTATCAAAAATTAGAAAATTGGAGTTTGTGGCCAAAACCCAGTTTTTTTAAGAAACTTGAAATCAAATCTGAACCTTTGTATCAAATATGAAAAATGTAAACAAACAAACAAACAATCACGGACATGAAGCGTCTTGGTCCTTTGTAGATATAACATAATTCTTGAACTATATTTCTTGTAGAACTGAAGGTTGGGATAGACATCCCTCGAATCAGATTAGGGTTCTGATTAATTCGTTTAGTAATGTCTAAGTTCATTATTTTGTGACTGTCAGTTCTAGCAGCATATCCTGAACCCGGAGCTGTGGTGAAATGTGTACTTGGAGACGAATACCTTAATGGAAAAAGTTCACTATCATTTAGTTTTTGCTTCCCGCCTCCCCCTCCTCCCCTACCAGGGTGTATGGACGGGGTTTCTCCGTAATTCTAGGTTTAAATCCAGAGCAAGGTCCTTGGTTTTCAAACCATGAACTCAGGAATTGACAAATAGTGTCGGCGTGTGAATTTTCTGCCAGGATTTGGTTTGGTTGCGCAAAACTGCAGCCGGCCGGTTCTACGGGTTTGGGTTTTATCATTTCACATTGCAAATCAGTTTAAAATCTATAAAGGATGTTTCGTCACGGTTACAGAGGCTTGGGGCAAAAAGTTGCTAAACAGGAATCAAGGTTGAGGTTTACTTTAGAATTAACCGGACTAGAAAGGAGCTTTCGTTTTGTCAGGTTTTTATTCGGGAAGAATTAAAATCAGATTTTTCATTCATTGCATGCATTCTCCCTGGAATAGCCTAAACAATTTTAATTTCAAAATTACTAATTCATACTAAACTTGGCTTGAAGCCTAATATGGTTGTTAGAAAATGGCTAGATTGGATTTAACTCAATTTGTTTTGTATATTTTAAAATCCTTACCAAAGTAGACAAAGATTATATGGAATAATGTTTTACGACCTGTGAAATTGAACACAATAAAATGCTATGGCTCATATTTCCTTAAAAGATAAAACCCGTAATTCCCGGATTTTCTGGGCCCACCCGTCCATCTTGAATCACCGGAAACACGTGCGGGCCCATATCCGGTCGCTCCTGGACCTCAAAACAATGGCGGCTCAAAATACGATGATGTATTATGCCGCGGAGAATTTTGGAATGCAGGCAGATGATCTATAGTTCAAGACGACAATTTTACAGTATATCTCTGAACCTAAACATATTTAAGATTGCATGAGATTTCCATGATTTCATGCTTTAAATATTCATAAAAAATAATGTTTCTTTGTTGTTGTTGGCTCTGAATGAAGCAGCTTTTCAATTAATTTTTGCATGATAAATAGGTTGCTTAGGTGTGACTATCCATAGTTGAGCTGGCATGATCTTTATTATTAAATATATCGATTAATTACAAGATTTCAATCCCTGATCTCATTAAGATCATTAAAGGCAATAATTACTCAATTCTTCCACCAAATACGGGACCTTAGCAAACCTAACCTAAACATAAACACAAATCTTAATCTGAACCTAAATAGGAAATTTGAACCTGAATAGGAAAACTGAACCTGAAACTGAATCGAATCTGAACCTGTGCCTATAAATGAACATAAACCTGAATTAAACCTGAAATATAAACCTAAACCCGAAATATAAACCTAAACCTGAAATATAAACCTAAACCCGAAATATAAACCTAAACCTGAAATATAAACCTAAACCTGAAATATAAACCTAAACCTGAAATATAAACCTAAACCTGAAATATAAACCTAAAACTAAAATATAAAACCTAAAATCATGAATAAAATGTTGATCATCATTTAAAATTTCATTCATGCATATTATTGGCACGTTCTGCCATATTGAGTATACTGAATACAGTCTACACACTAGCACACTAGGCAACAATCTGAATACAATTTACATAAACAAACAACAGCATTTATGCACGGAAAATTAAAAAAAAAAAAAAAAGTTTTGCAAACAAATACAAACTAGGAAATTCTCCATTTAAAAAGTTTTTAAATAAGTCGTGGACAATTAAGCCATAAATAATATGTGGTATAATAAAATGAAAATTTCATTGATATCATCGCTAGTCTTGCGAATTTTCTTGACATCCAAGACTAAAAATATAAATGTAAAATTTTTTTTTTCAGGTTCTTCTTACCCTGAGAGGACTATCCGGAGAAAATGAGAACTCCGTTGAGACAGAAACCTCTCCTGCGGAGCAGGTTTTCCAACCCTCCGTCTCCGCAACCTGCAGGGCCGGGATCATGACCATAAGGTGAGATTATTCCAAACCAAATCCTAATCCAAAGTTTGATATCTCTAGACCAAACCATAATCTGGCAATTTGAATCCTTCCAGCCAAACCTTAATCGTGACCAATAAATGGGGCGATAGGGGTACTTAGAGCAGTATAGGATAGGATAGGAAACATTAGAATAGGATAGATAAGAATAGGATATATTAGAATGGAATATATTAGAATAGGATAGATTATAATGGGATAGATTAGAATAGGATAGATTAGAATAGGATAGATTAGAATAGGACAGATTAGAATAGGATAGATTAGAATAGGATAGATTAGAATGGGATACATTAGAATAGGATAGATTAGAATGGGACAGATTAGAATAGGATAGATTAGAATAGGATATATTAGAATGGGATACATTAGAATAGGTTAGTTTAGAATAGGATAGATTAGAATAGGATAGATTAGAATGGGACAGATTAGAATAGGATAGATTAGAATAGGATAGATTAGAATAGGATAGATTAGAATGGGATATATTAGAATATGTTAGATTAGAATAGGATAGATTAGAATAGGATAGATTAGAATAGGACAGATTAGAATAGGATAGATTAGAATGGGATAAATTAGAATAGGTTAGATTAGAATAGGATAGATTAGAATAGGATAGATTAGAATAGGATAGATTAGAATGGGATAGATTAGAATAGGATAGATTAGAATGGGATAAATTAGAATAGGTTAGATTAGGATAGGATATATTAGAATAGGATAGATTAGAATAGGTTAGTTTAGAATAGGATAGATTAGAATAGGATATATTAGAATAGGTTAGTTTAGAATAGGATAGATTAGAATAGGATAGATTAAAATAGGATAGATAAGAATAGGATATATTATAATAGGATAAATCAGAATAAGATGGATTAGAATAGATAGATTAGAATAGAATAGATTAGTAAAGAACATAGGAATAGGTCATAAAAAATAGGCTACATGGACAGGACCAAAATAGGAAAGGAGAATGAAATAGGACGTGTTCAGATTTGACAGGAAAGAAAAGACCAGAGCTGAAAACTTTATAATGGGATATCCTTAATCCCGATCGGTTAATTAATTTGGAGATTAATAACAAGAGAAGAACAAGCATTAATTCCGATATCCACTATTCAAAAGCTTCCAGCTCAGAATAGATAAAATTTGCGTGAGAAAGAATGAAGGAATTCTTTGAATAGCATTGTTTTGTTATGTAATGTTTGCGCCCTAAAGGTGTTTTAGTTGTCTTTGCTCAATCAACCGCCATCGTGAGTCAATAAAATATAAACAAAAGAACTGTTTGTAATCCACCCCGATCCGGTAATCAGGGTTTTAATACCAGTGTTTAACAACCAGAAACAAATTAAAATATTTTAAATAGTTTTACTTGTAGAAAGCAAAATGATTTGAAAAAAAATATTTTCTGAATTTGAAATTTGAATTCCAAAGTTTATTCACCTCGTGATTATTTACTTAAGGAAAATGAGTCAAACGATGTTTAATCTTTCATTGATTGCATTGGTTTAAATTCTTAAAAGGAGATTAAGATTTTTCTAGGTTTGAGGCTTAAAGGGACTGGTAACTTAATTTTAGAAAATGCCATTATAACTTTTGTCTAAGAAACGATTGTGGAAACATCTATTTTCTGAAAATCACAACAGTAAGATTTCGGCAACCAAATAAATTAATCAAATTTTCGAATTTTAAAAATTCAAGTTTTCTTCTATCGCTTCTCAGATTTGAAATTAATCCAAAAACTTAGTTTATTTTAACCATCTAATATTTTTGAAGATTGATATTTGATTTAAGCCTCCGTGAAGCAAACCCAGCATAAAGTAAAAAACCTGTCATTCTCTTTGTTATATTTTATACTGTTGACAGGCGTACTTGTAGCTAGACCTAGGGCTGGGCCAATTAACAGAGAACACTCTTTATTTTGATTAGAAAAGACAATTATCATTTTTAACACATTTTTAAAACCATTCAGAACTTTTTTCCACAAACTAATTTGAACAACAAAACCAAATTTTAAAAGTGTTTAATTCAGATAATCAATTAATAGTTAATTAGTTATACAAATGCGCAAGTCACTTTTGAAGAGAAACCAACATTAAAACTATCTGTTTCCAAATTGTTAGCATTGATATCTAATTCATACATTACCTGACAAACCTTTTAAGGGTACTGTTGTGAATCGAGCATCGTCATCTTGGAATGAAGGGTTACTCGAAACAACTCTTACAGTACTTTAACAAACTACTTTTTCCTCAAATATGAAGAAATGTGTCCATCCCTACTTTTAGCCAATGATATTACATTTCTACCCAATAACCACAACATGACAAACAGGAATTATACTTTTACAACTTTAATATCTTAGAACTAATCATTTTAAAAACTCAGTTTGCGCTCAACTATAAAACCATTGTCAAATTAAAAAAAAATACTTTCAATCTTATGAAAGAAACAGCCCACACATTTATTTCAACCAGGGGGGGGGGTCGAATTTAATGAATTTGAGCTAGGTCGCTGAAGTATCTATCGTTCTACAGTGAAGTTATCATCTTAAAGGCATTGAAATCACCGATTCAAGATTCGTGGTTAAACCGTATCTAGAACTAGATCAAATTCATTAAATCCTGAACCAGGCAAGAGAAGAAAAAATCATGTTTACAAAAATTTGAAGAAAAAAAAGAGGCCCAGTGTAAACTACTATTTGGCTCATCAAATCAATACCTTCCCTCCCTCGCATCATAAACCCCTTGTTTATTTCAGAGTTGAGACCCCGTCTAAGTTCAATGGTGCAGTACACACGAGGGACTACAGGAAGAGCGCGTGTACCAGCTACGGGTTGGGGGGCACGGAGACAGAGTTGAACATCAATATGCTGACAGAGAAGAACAGTGACGGGTTCTGCGGAGTTTACATAAACGAGGTGAGAGACAAGAGGGGGGGGGGTATACAACAACAACAACGTTCTTTGTTATCAAGAAGTAACTGTATATAATGTATTGTGTTCAAATGTCAATGAGAAAAAGTTGTAAGAAAGACTTTAATTCTTTATTTTAAAATTATAGCTGTTTTATAAGTTTGCATGTGAAAAACATTCATTCTCAGCCAGAAGGGGTCATTTTATCTTATTTATAGAATCAATTAAAAATGTTTCAACAATGCATGTACACTGTACACTGTACAATGAGTATTTTATACTAAAACTGTACAATGAACATGCAACCAATACTAATGTGTACATAACACATTAAATTACAGTGTTGTTCACAAAGTTTGACACTTTAATAAGGGCCTTAATAACGTCCTTAATAACGTCCTTAATAACGGTCTTAATAATGTCCTTAATAACGGTCTTAATAACGTCCTTAATAACGTCCTTAATAACGGTCTTAATAACGTCCTTAATAACGGTCTTAATAACGTCCTTAATAACGTCCTTAAAAACGGTCTTAATAATGTCCTTAATAACGTCCTTAATAACGGTCTTAATAATGTCCTTAATAACGTCCTTAATAACGTCCTTAATAACGGTCTTAATAATGTCCTTAATAACGTCCTTAATAACGGTCTTAATAATGTCCTTAATAACGTCCTTAATAACGTCCTTAATAACGGTCTTAATAATGTCCTTAATAACGTCCTTAATAACGTCCTTAATAACGTCCTTAATAACGTCTTTAAATTATTTAAAGTTGACGGTTTGAAGTTTAAATTTTGTCATAAATTTTTTAAATAGTTTTTTATTTTGGACTTTTTCATGGTTTGTAAATAATGTAAAACTATGGTATACATGAATGTAAGAAGATCGACTAAATTCGTTCTGTACAGTCGTCTCTGAAGTCTCATTCTCTGTGGGTACCCCTGTATGAACAGAGCGTCCCATCTCATAAAATTAAGATTATCTCCAAGATTTAACGCTGAAGTAAGCACATAATACTCGAAAAACCTGGTGTTTTCTGCATGCGATTTTTTACATTAGGCTTTTACAATTTTTTTTAATGGTTCATTCTTTTTAAGTTTTCTTATTTGTTCCGAAATCTCAATTTAGAGCCTTAAACAATCTGAAATAACGTGGGACACCCTGTACAAAGAGGTGAATAACTGATAAGTAAGGCTGCACAGGAAACCGCTGAATCTCATAATATGATTATCCTATATATAGTAGGCCAGTAGAGAGATGGATACCTTTAACCTTTAATATATATTTATATATATATATATATCATTTTAACTTATCTTGGATCGGGAGAGGGGAGGGGGGGGGCAGCGCTTTATAAAGATAGTATATGCAAGGGCGTATACAGAGGAGGGCAAGGGGGCAGTGCCCCCCTAGACCTGTAAAGAGGGGGGCGTAGCCCCCCCTCTACAGCTCAGAGCTATCACACTTTTAAAATCTGAAACTTAAGAGTGAAGAACACAAAAAAATTAGTTTGCTGTTTTTTCAGCTAGTTTTGTTTGAATTAGAGATAACGCAGTATTTGTAAGGTAATTGGACTGTATGTGTACCTTTAAAGTATCCAAGAAGCCAAAAGTTTTGAATTTACAGTTCAAATTTTGCCCGCCTTCTAGAAGCTCCTAGGAGTGGGCAAAAAAATCCCCCCCCCTAGATATATTTCTGTGTACGCCCTTGAATATGTCTTAAGTACCTCATTCGTTTCTTGCCACGCCCATAAGATTAGAAATACATAGTCCATGATCCTATATGATTCAGTATATGGCAATTGGAATTCTTATAATTTGCATACATGGATAAAAGGGGGGTTGGGTTGAATTTTTGGATAAATGTTTTTAGATGGATCATCGTCATCAGTTGGATGATAATAAGCAGTTGAATGATCATTAGTATTTGTATGATCTTTAGTAGTTGGATGATCATTAGGAGTTAGATGATCATTAGTAGTTCTATAATTTCTATAAAACGGTTGATATGAGTTATGGACCATTTAAAAACTTTTGATTGCGTTTTATGATTATTTTTTTATTTATATATTATATACTATTGTCATCGTGATCGAACTATATTGTATCCTATTTTTTAAAAAATATTCTCTAGATATAAAGAACCCACTCTATTGTTCTTTTAAAATTTAATTATGAAAATTTTCCTTTAGTTGTTCCTAAACTACAGGAGTATTACTTTGAATTTTCCTCAATATATAATATTGTTTCTTTGTTTGTTCCTAGAATTAATGTTCCTAAAATATAAAAATGTTCCTCTGATTGCTACTAGAATAAAAGTTTGTGCCTTTGATTGTTCCAAAACATAGGAGTATTCCTTTGATTGGTCCTAATAAATAAGTGTGTGCCTTTGATTGTTCCTAAAATATAAGAGAGTTCCTATGATTGTTCCTAAACTATAGTATTATTCCTTTGATTGTTCCTAAACTATAGGAGTGTTCCTAATCTAAAGCTTAGTATTCAGGTGGAATGCAAGATATAAAAGAGTACTAGAGTTAGATAAAGATTAAACAGATTTGAAATAATAAATAAATAAATTAGGTTTGGAGCGCGACCTGCATATTAATAATAGTTTTCATTTGTGGGTACCCGGAGAAAATTAATCTTTCTCTATCATTGTGGTTACCTGAAGCAAAATAATCAAACCTCGTTGTTTTTAGTCTGGCATTGATTGTATACCCGGAGTAAATAATAAAAATAAAATTTTTTAAGATTCTTGGAGAAATTTATGACGCTTTTTATGTTGTAACCGGGAGCAAACAATTGACTGAAATCTAAACTACTCTGCATGAAAGTTATTCATCAAATTTTTAGACAGCCTCATTGTTAAAGTGTCGCACCGCTCTAGCCTTTGGTTTTAGCTCACAAACTCTTTTATACATTTGTGTAGTCCTAGACATATTTTTCAAAATTGCAACGAGATTGCATAGTTTAAGTTTAAAAGGATTAATTGGCAAAATACTGCCCGATGTTGACGCGAGAGCGTGTTAATATCTTGGTTTGCAGTGAATTAAGACTCTTGAGGCTAAATTTAAAGAATTTGAGCGGCTTCTTAAATTTGAGACGCGGCTCAAATATGTTTGGTTCCACTTAAAATTGTGTTCAATGTTTCAAGATTAAGCCGGCGCTCAGTTTAAACCGGGTTTTGACGGATTTAAGCCGCGGCTCAAATTCTCTAAATTCGGCCTCTGGCCATGTAAATGAGAAAAAAGGGGTTTTAATATTATTACACTGAGATAATCTTAAAGGCTGAGTTTAAAGTGCCTTCAACGCAAGTAATGTTCTAGAAGAAAGGTTAACATTGAAGAATTATAGTAAGTATGGCTTTAGAGGTCAGTTTCGTAGCCGTGGGAGCCTGGGAGGTCGGTTTTAGTAGTTTTTCGTGCATTCAAACTTGTCTTTTTCCCTGGTTTCGACAAGTTTGTTTTGTTCTCCTGGTCTAACAGTGAAGCTCGTGGGATTCAATTCAATACTTTCTCCATAGTCAATTCATGATTCTTGATCTCGTTATATACAAACTTAGGTTTACTTTCCTTTTTGAATATCTTTCAAAGGTGGGACTAAATCCCAAAATGTTTAGGAATGGAAAATGGATGTTAGAAAAAAAGTAAATTTTCTTCTCAATAAAGCTAGGCTACAGAAAAAAAATAATTTCGAAAAAAAACAAAATAATCTCAACCAAAGCACTCTGATTTTAAGACGCTTTCTATCACGTTAAAAAGATATTTTCAAGACTCATTCCCGTAAAAACCAAGATATTTATATATATATATATATATATATATATATTTACCTGTTTACAATGTACTTGGTCTTGCGGTTTACAGGCCATGTTAAACATGGATATAATTACCTGTGTAGTCCATACAGGGAGTTCCATAAAATATTGAATTTAAAGGGACTGTAAGCGTAATTTCAAGTGACCCCTCTATTTCAAAGTGTTGAGTCAGATTCACAACAGTACCATTTGTAACCCTTGACCGATTGAAGGGTTAGTATTTACTTTCAAGAAGCCGCAGAAAATAAATATTAAAATTCGAATATTTTAAAACCGTGTTGCACATAAATTATTCGGGATTTTCGAATATATAATATATCTATATAATATATAATATATAATATATCTATATAATATAAGTAATGTCAGCTGCGTTAAGTTCATACTGAATGCTAATGCATCCAGTTTTCCCGCAATTTAAACACCATTTTATGGATAAGCACACGGAGTTCTTTCCTCTTAAGGTTTAAAGAGTATCATTTTTTTAATGAAGACAATTTTCTGCTGTGATTCTTCAAAATGGAAAAAAATTGTTTTAATCTAGCTGATGTGTTACAATTAGATGATTTTAGGTATCAAATAAGCATACAGTGATACCCTATTAGAAACAGACTGATTTTCAGTTTTGCTATTTCTTTTGATAAGAAATGCCGATCAAATAGTGACAGATTAAAAATCCTGAAGCAAATAGAACACTTTATATATTTATTTTAAAAACAATTATTATCCTATCCTGAAAATATTAGAAAACAAGCCCCCTGCTTGAGTTTTTACCCTCCCTAGAAACTGTTTTATGGACCCTCTAAATTATTCCTTTGAAGGTTTTTATACCACTCATAAATTATCGTAAACAGTGTTGAAAGTGTTTTTGGTGCAATCTAATGGATAATTCTCCCGATAATCATAGTTTTTAGACACTACACAATGTTAGACGCTTAGCAAGTCAAAATAAAACATAAATTACTATCACTGTACAGAATACAACCGCTGTACAGTATATAACCACTGTACAGAATACAACAACTGTACAATATATAACCACTGTACAGTATATAACCACTGTACAGAATACAACCACTGTACAGTATATAACCACTGTACAGTATACAACCCCTGTACAGTATACAACCACTGTAAAGCGTACAGTCACTGTAAAGTGTACAGCCACTGTAAAGTGTACAGCCACT